GTACCCGAGTACCGACCCGCCTCGAGCCCGACGTTCGTGCTGACGAAGCACTCCAACTCACACCGCAAGGTGCTGGAGCTTCGGCGCCAGAAGGAGATGGTGAGGGCGCAGCCGCAGTTTATTCACCAAGTACCGCCGCAGCAGCATCACCACCACCACCATCATCACCATCAGAACATGGTTTTCGATGTATCCAATGGTGGAGATTACTTGATTCACCAACACGCGGGGCCCGACTTCCGGCAGCTGATCTAGTGGGAAGCGTACTAGAGTAGCTAAAACTAGGCAACTTTTCGGGGTTAATTTAGCGGGGCCCAGTTGATCTTCTTCTTCCTTTTTCTTTTTTTCTTTTTTAATTAACTAGACAATTTCGTAATGTTTTTCTTCTTCTTCTTCTTCTTCTTCTTCTTCTTCTAGGGTAATTTTCCCTAACCTAAAATTTGAACTTTCTAGTCTGTGTTTAATGTTTTTTTTTTCTTCTTTATTTTTTTTAATTTTTTTTTTCTCATATTTGATTTAGAGAGTTAAATTAAACTGAACTAATATCAATATGGTGCCTTACTTTAACAAAAATTTTAAAAATATATAATTACGAAAAGCCATAAAGCCCTTAATAATTTCCTGAAATTGGCTCTTTCTCAATGTCTATGAGTATGTTAATATTCTTATGGTCCCGTGCATATAAGGCAATTGATCAAATTTTGTTCATAACGAAAAGGTTGATCACTTTTGTTTACCAAACCATCATTTCACTTGCCCCTACCACGTTCTTAGACTGTAGATTGCTTCCAACGGATACTCGATGATTTTGTAACTCTGATAATAAAGAGCAATTATCTATACTATACATATGAATTCCTCTGCATTTCCATGGAAGATTTATATATGGGGATTTTGTTTCGTAATCGAGGTGGTAACACAAAATAGTTATGGTTGTCCAAATATGTACCCCACTAAGTTGGTGTATGGTGAGAGAGAATCATGTTATCTTGTTGACACCCCAACATCACCAAGTGAAAGGTCTCCAACCTAATCATAATTTGCATGACAAGAAATAATGCTGGACACCACCTCTTTAAACTTTCATATTACTCATTATTCACACAGCTAAGAGATATTAAAAGAGAGTTAGTTGTAAATTAATTACTATCCTATTTAAACTATTACTGTTAATTAACAAAGAGTAGTTGTCTTGGTTCGATAAGGTTTCAAATTCGACTAACATGAACACAAAAACAGTACACATTTATAGTGAGTTTGATACATAGTATGGCCAGTGGGGATTAACCATTGCAGAGAATGTTAGAAAGAAAAAAGCAGATTGGCTAGCATATTTTTCACATCGTTTTCTGCTGCATAAAATCCGGTTGGCGCAATTGGTTTACTTCATAAATATTTTTTGTTTCTTGCACAAGTTTTCTCACTTTTTAGAGCATCTCCACCCACAAGGGCAAAGTCTAGGGCAAG